ATTATGATTGCACGTGTTTTTGTGAAGGTAATTCAAACTGCAAAAGTTATTGACACATCTACCCATTCTTATTTTTCTTGACAAACTACGGCCAAATTACACTTTTTTGCTCATTTGTGTTTTTTAAAACTTCTTGACCGCATTGCAACAGTTGAACTCATTTAACTTTATCAAAGAATCAAGTAATATAATTTGAACTCAATAATTATTTTTATTAATTCACATTATTTAAATTAAGAATATATACATCATATATTTTAATACTCAACTAACTACATAACTATTTACTTTTTATCTACATAAATCATATCCCTATCATATCCATAGTTTATTTTTTGCTTCGCACGCGCATTATATTATCTATGTTTCTCCAATAAACCACAATGAAGTATCACTTCAATTTCGCCAGCCATTTCGAATGCAATCGGGGAAAAAACAACTCCCTAATTATTGAAAATAATGAAACTGGAGGACATTTCGAAAACACAGTATAATTACTAGTTTAATACTTAGAACATACTTAATGAACACTCCAGACGAATAGAAATTCATTTTATATTTTTTCTCTTATAATAATGGATTGAATTCTGTATTTATTTTTTTTTTACAATGCTTACATCTTCCCTTCTTTTACAGTTATTTAAGTACTCTATACAATTTCTATAATTTTTCAAAAGATTTTAAATAATTTGGTTTAAATATTAAAAGAAAACTAACAAATCGAAACAAACAAACTTGTGAAGTTAAACAGATTAGCATTCTGAAGACATATTTTGTCAATAATATATCTTGTTATACACAGTATATTTATTACAAGCTATATAATTCATTACATGCTATATAATTTGCTATGGTAATACGTATTTTAAAAAAATTTTCTTAACTTTATATTGATCTTTTTTTTTAATATTTCACTGCGCTTTTGAATGGGTGTTTTTTAATGATTTTAAACTTGTATAATTAGATTTTAAAAAAATTGAATAATTTTAAATGTTTTATTTAATTTAAAAAACATCAAAATTTTAATAAATAATTATAAATTTTTCCTAATACTGATTCCGCAATTTCTTTCAAAACGGAGCAAATTTCTAACAATTATTTACAAGAAATTTTATACTTTTATTTCAAGAATAATTGCTTTTTCAAGAAAATTGCTTTTTATTTTCATTGTTTTCTTTTTTCTTTATTGCTTCAGTAACAAGTGAAATTACTTTGAAACACGTTTTTTTTAATGGCAGCTAACCATAACAAAATAAAAAAAAGACTAATAAAACTGTTCCAGAGTTTTTTCTCAGTCTCAGAATCGGTAGAAGAATTCAAAACATCTGTCATGTTTTCAGTAACTTATATTTATTGATCCACAAAAATTGTCATTTGGTTGTGTTTCTCTTGCTGTCTGCGAGGAGCTTAACTAAGTCTCATTAGAAGTATATAATCAATAAACTAAGTTATATTCAGAACCCTAATAAAAGGAACATATTGTATTTAATACAATATGTTCTTTTACATAGCGTATTAAAAACCTTAATGAATTTTGGTTTATACATGATAACCAAACATATTGCACTTTGGAGGGTGACTAAGTGACAATTGTTTTGGTTATGTGTTGATATATATGAGTGATCAGTATGTGTGTTCAAGAATCAGGACAGTAATCGTCATTTTGAAATCTCAATTCCATCTTTGTAAAAAGTGCTCTTTGTTTTCGAACTTTATCTGTATATTTGATTATTTAAAGCTGTTTTTTATCGCTAGATGATTTTTCACTGCTCTTAAACCTGATCATAAACGTATTAAAGCCATCAGTTCAAAATCTATTTTCCAGTTTTGCTAACTATACGATAAAACTTGCTCTTATTGATGTGATTCAAATTTATTGTCAAATTGATAGCATACCTGATTATTACCTTTCCTTAAATAGAATTTTTCTGTAAATTAATTTTCCAGATATACACTTAAATATATTTTGATATAATATAATTACAGTCAAATATGATTTCAATATGTAAGACTTATTTTAAGACTAAGTAAGGTAAAAGAATTATCAGACTTTCCTTCTTAGTAAGACACTAGAGCCATGGTGACTAAGGTGATAGAGCACTTGCTTCCCAATGAGATAACTCAGGTTCGAATCCCAGTGATGACAGCGTCCGGCTCACTCGGACAACAGTGTTGACATAAAATATCCGTATCTGATCCGAGTATAAATTTACTTCGCAACTTTCAAAAAGAAAACTTGTTCCCGTGAAGTAAAAAACTGTTGTGACTATGGATTTACTTCGTAACTTTTACAAAAAAAACTTGTTTGTGTATGGAAAAAAAACTGTTGAGGTTATAGATTTACTTTGGGTTATAGGTTATTGAGGTTGTAGATTATTACGGCTTTGCACAACCAACCCAGCTGTCACTTTAAAATCGTTAATATTACTGAATTCCTTTTACAGAACGGTGGAAGAAGTTAGAATGCATGGAAAAGCCAAATCCGAAATACTATATGCTAATAATTTATATTGTGTTGTTCAGTATTTTAGCAAACTGTACCCCAGGAGGACCCCCTTAACTGTCCCCAGCACCAGTTGTTGTTAAATCTAAATAAGGAACACCGTTAAGCCACGTTATTTTGTCTGGTACAAGAGAAATCTAATAAAAAGACAGATCCAGCATCCGAACAAAATTTCTAATAATTTATTCAATGCAGATTTTAAAATTTAATTATACATAATAATAATATAATTCATAATAATAAATTGTCAATGCTAATAACATAACTAATAATTCTAATAACAGAATTAATAGTAATAATAGAGCAAATAATAATAATAACTCTGAAGTATAATTGCTCATAACTACTATAAAAAAATTAATGCTTTTATTTCGGATTTTTTATTGTTTTCTTTCTGAAAAACTCTTTAAAAAAACTAGATATTTAAATTTTTTGAAGATAGTTTAAAAAATTTTGTCTCTATATTTGATATTAGGAAGATTTACTATGGGCTAGAATAGTCTTTAAGGCGAAAAATTATGTGTCCCAAAGCCACCTAACTTAATATGGTACTTAATTACGGAAAACATTGTTTGAAAATTTCCTCAGCATTTAGAATAAAGTTTTACTTATATATTCATTGAATATATAGGTAAAACATTAAAGAAATTCATGAAATATTCATTGTGATTTTAACAAAATATTAAAACAAAAGTCTCAAAAGTGCTTCAAAGCAACCCCACTTTATGGTATAGATTTCAAACTTTTATATCATTATTTTTTGAGTATTTACCCATATCTCGAGTACTAGAGTGTCCATTTTTACCTTTCTTTTTTTGAGTACTGGGAAATTATCTATGACTAAGTTTTATTTGCATTCGATACTATTTTGAGCATTTGGAAATCATAATCGAGCATTTTTTAAGCGAGAAATTTATGCTGGAATTGTATCCAGACTGATAAGTTTAGATTTCATTGATCCTCTTAAGGATATTCTAGATATCTAAATTTACACTTGGTTTCATGGTTATACTCCCATTGGGAAAGTTACTCTGTAAGACTAAGCTCGAGCTTATGGACTCTAAGATAATCTCTGATATGACAAACTGACAAAGTCAAAATATTGCAAGTCTTTTCTTGCGTTTAGCACAAAAATGTTGTCAGCTAATAAATCAATGAAGAATTTATTTAAACTAAAATAAACCATTGATTTTAGGATATTCATTAAACTCGTCTGAGGTACATATTTTTTCTGTTATAGTTAAAGAAATATCAACAAATCATAGTTTACTTCTCATTCATTCTAACATTTTTTAGCATTTTAACTTTGTTCATTTGAGTAGCCTGTAATAATCAGGCTTCCATGAACAATTATAGGTTGATAGTTTGTTTTACAATAGTCATGTTCTGAAAAAAGCAATTCAGCACACCCACAAAATTTAGGATAAGGATCTTGAAATCTGTAAACATGTCAAAACTGAGCAGCAGACAATCCTCTTTCATTCTATATTTTAAAAATCTGAAGTATTTTCAAGTCAGTTTTAATATATCTGAAAATAAAGTTTATTTTTAAGTTACATCCGCAAATAAAATGTTGTTTGAAAAAGCATTATTTTGCATAAAGAATTGAAATAAGATAAGTAATTTTGCTATTTCGAATTACAAAAGCAAGTATAAATACCGTGTAAGAAACTAACTGCAACTATAGGCTAACAGATGATATTGCCGGATTGAGAAAACTAACAATGATTTCAAAATTACCATCATTTCCAGAAACACTGAGGAAATTAACAATAATTTTAAAGTAACCATCATTTTCAGAAACACTGAGGAAATTAACAATGATTTCAGAGTATCCATCATTTTCAGAAGCGCTGAAAAAATTAACAATGATTTTAAAATAACTATCATTTTCAGAAACACTGAGAAAATTAGCAATGATTTCAAAATAACCATCAATTTCAGAAACACTGTTACGCAGTCAGTAATTCAAAAACTTGTGGGAATATTTCACTTGAAATTTTCCTGCTGCAAAATTAGACTTCTTTTTTAGTTAGCAGAAGCATTGACAAACTTCATGATTAATTTTAAAACTTAATTTGTATCAAGGTTTTATTTCTTAAGCAAGGCAGAACAAACTGTAGATTTACGTCTCCTTTTTCTCTTTAATTGATTTTTCAAACTGTCGGTCATTTTTGGGACAGCCGGCTTAGGCTACCTCATTTCCTAAAATGAGACTGCTATCTCGTTTCCTTTGAGCCATATTACGAGTCAAATTTGTTCAGTTTAAGGCTCCTATACTATGTCTAATTCAGGGGCTCTAGTTCAGTTAATTCTCATTCATATTAAGAACCTGCATAAAAAGCAATGTTCTCTATATTTCTCCTGAAAAAATAATTTTCGCTCAAAGAACCACCACCGAAAGAAATTTCTCTTTATTGGCTGTTCGAGCTTAAATTTATGTAATTATATGATTTTAAAAATTATATGTAAATTAATCTCAAAGGCTTTATTTTAGTGTCTGTGGTTTCCAACACTTCCAACGTTCCGGCAACTACGAGGTGGACCTTTTCAAAAGCCTCTACTTTGTGGTGGTTACTTTTTCGACTGTCGGATATGGTGACTACAGACCAGATGTTTGGCCATCACAACTTTTTATGGTCGTGATGATTTGTGTCGCTCTCATCGTTCTTCCTACGCAGGTAATTTCATTTCGACTGACTTTTATTTCTTTTTTAATATGAACACATTTTCAATTTATAACAATAATTTTAAACTATTTCTTACTCAAACTTTACTTGTTATATATTATTATTAGTTAATGTTTCTATTATGTGTTACTGTTTTTATTATGTGTTATTGTTTTTAATATGTTAATTTCTGATTTTTCTTGATTCTCTGAAAAAATAAATAAAATAAAAAGTATGTCTTTGAACAATATAAAAGTCAGGAAATTGCTGATACGTCTGGGTCTAGACTAGCAAATTCACAAACTCACCAAAATTTTGATTTGGTATAATTCGAAATAGAGACAATTAAAAAAGTATATTAATTTATTAAACCACACTAATTACATCCAAAAACAACTTGCAATCTTTTCAGCCAGACTCACTCTGTTTTCACTAAAAATTTTAATATCGAAATAAAAATTTTATTACACGCGACGTTCATGATACTGCGTTGAGTGCTTCATTATTTTTCTTTCTTTTATGAGCCCTGCTTTCTTTAAAGTCCTGACAGTAAATGTCCATGAAATTTGAAGTTTGGCATTATTTGACTCAGATTAAAAGGATTAAATGAAAATATTATTTTCCTTTTGGGAAAAGAAACATTCAGATAAATTTCCGTTTTAGAATTAAAGTTATTTCATGAATAATTCGTTTTAACTCTGACGTAGGATTTAATTTTATTGTTATAGCAATAAAGTTAAGTTCACTTCGAAAATAAGGAACTTCAACATGAAATGTTGTCTCATCTTGAAACTCTCTTATTAAAAAATAACCATTGTTTAACAATGACTGAATAGAGCTAATTTCTTATTCCATACAAGTAAAATCTCTTTTCATAAAAATATAATAATGCAAAATGTGTTTAAAATATAGATTTCGTTGTATTAGAAAAATTAAATAAAACTCAGTATATTTTAATATTAACTAGCTTAGCAATCCAAATATAAATCAAAGCTGGTTCGTCGGGGCTAAAGCTTGTTGCAATTTTTGAGGTGCTTGTAAACAACCTAATAAGTTATAACAATCTTCTCTAAAGAACTAAAAGAAAGTTTTTTTAATCATGAAAAAGTATTTTTGAATCATGAATCAAATTTTTCCAGCCATGAAAATAAATGAGATGATATCTGAACGATCAAATTAAAAAATTTTTTTTTTCAAATACTTAAAATATTTTTACATAAACCAACTAGCTGTTCATTTTTATTTTTTTAAGAAGATAGACGAGACCCCATTGTTTACCATTTATAAATCTAAAATAAACCAGATTTTGAGAGTTTGACCGCCATTCATATGTTTTAAGCTCATAAATATTAAAGACACTCCATACGGATTATTCATTGGAATAAGAAGATAATAGGAAATTTACTTTGAGGAGTGTTTTCTCAGCAAAAGATCAAAGGGTACACACAATTCAATTTTAACTGGCGGCTTTGCCCGAGGCTCTCGGGGGAAAAAAGCACATTATGGATGAAATAATCTATACCAACAGTATATGATTTTTTTAATTAGTATTTGTGATATTACTATGTAATAATAAACTTTGTTAACAAAGCACACCGGTACTAGGAATACTTCTTTTTTAGCCATGCTACAAATTTTCGTAATAGTCAAGATTTATCCTAATCGTAATTCTCGAAAATAGTTATCAATGACACTAATATCTTTGTAATTAGCTTTTTTTTATCACTATATTAAAAAAAGAAAATTCTTACCGTGTTAATTTTCATCTCGATATATTTTCACTTAGTAAAACACTTGCATATTTTACTGCCCTTTCCAGTAACTTCCCATTATTAGTTTTATCGAAAACAACGCTAACCAAAAGAAAATTAAATTAAACTTAGTATTATTGAATTCGTGGTAGTCAAGATTTACCACAACTTCAGTTTTCCAGATAAGTTGACATTTAATATGTAACTTCAATTTTGTTTTATTAATTCTGGATAAATTCACATGACTTGAGTTTATACACTCCGTTGGAGCAGATGGTTATGGCATGGCTCACACCACTGATTGGTGAGCTGTAGTAGTGAGTTCGATCCTCGAGGCCGACAAAACAAGTAACGGGTATACGCAACAAGGTGCACATTTAAATCTATCGTGGTTGAAAATCCTCTGGTTGGTTGTTATGTGGTAGTTTGGAGTGCCAGGTACGTATCCACGTCTGGGAGAAAAGAAAAAAAGAAGAAGAAGAAAAAGTTTGGAGTGCCAGCTGAAGAGCAGTCCATGACATTTGACCAGGGTAAAAATTATATGGAACTCCTATCATGGTCGTTAAAAGATTGAATCCTAAATGGAGTTAGGTGCATGGCCATGGTTGGATGATGATGATTTAAGTTTATAAAAGCAAGATTTGATAGTGTTATGGCAAAAGAGTGAAAACGTGTTTTGATACACCTTTTTAAATACTTATTCAATTATATTTACGTCACAAACTTATCTATTTTGATTTTAGTGGTGCTAACCCAACGTAGGAAAAAACAGTTGATGATTGAAATAGTTGAAAGCATACTATAAAATTCCAACTGGAAAAATCATTTTTGATCGAAACGCTTAAAACTAGCAAAGTCACTTATATTTTCGCTTATCTCCCAATGAGGTGAACCGGGTTCAAATCCCAGCGATGGCTGGTTGATATGAATTCCGCATCCGGCTTGCACCGACCACAGTACTGGCATGAAATATTCTCAGTGGTAGAAGGATCATGTGTTAAAGTCCCCTTGTCGTCAGGCTAATCTTGGGTGGTCCTCGTGGTCTTCATCTCCATGTAACCCAAATGCGGGTTAGTTCCATCAGAAGGTCCTCCACGAAGGCAAATTTCTCCCAATACTTGAAACAGGAGTTCCCTTGTCTTCTGGATTGGGTTCAAAATTACAAGGCTACGTAGTTGAACATTAGTAGTCGTAAACCCAAAAATTGGGTCGGCTGTTCAACGACGGTTATAAAGTTCTGTTAAAACTACTTTTCCAAGTCGATTTTAAAATGAGTGAACTATCTTCCATTGTCACTGTCGTTTATCTTTCAAGCCCTTAGCTTTCTTCACAATCATCAAATTAAAATCATTTATTTTGCTAATTTAGTATTCTATAAAAGTTTTTTAAAAAAATTCCCTGAAAAGACAATTTTAAGCCCTACCATTTTGAACTCAGTTAAAAGTTCTGCTTAAGTATTTTGCAAAGGATATTCTGTCTCGGCATTTAAGACGACCGCAGCTGAAATTTTCCTCTTGGGGGTTTTACAAGGAAGGAAAAAGCAATAATTCTTTCTGTAAACTCAGTCGCATTTCATTTCCTGTTCAAAGTGTGAAAGTGAGCTCAAACCTTTGTGAATAACTGATCTTTTCATAGCGAAGACTGCAGGCTGTGGATTTAGGGAAATCTCAAGTTTAAAATTCGATATTTTCTTTCCCTTTTTATAGTGAAAGACTTATTTTTTTATAAAAAAAATCTCTTGACTTTTGAATATTCTTCACTTACTTTTCGAAACATCAGGCAAATGTAACTTCGAATGTTTATATATAAAAGAGAAATAGAAAAAGGATTAAAATATACTTTTTTAAATTCTACAAATGATCTAGCGGTATCAAGGGGGACAAGTTGCCACATTTATTTAAGAGGAATACTTTTTTTTTAATATTTTGAATACTTTTTTGAAGTTTTATAACTGGAAAATAGTTTCGGGAGATATTTTTTTAATATATGAGTTTATATTTTTGAGGAGGGATGTATTTTTAAAAACTTTTGGTGACCTATATTTTTTTAGCTGAATTTATTATATCTTCCACTGTCAACTCACTAGGACAAAATAGAAGAAAAAGATAAGTCTTTTTCAAGCAGGGATTTAGTTGGACAGAAACTGTTTTTTCTTTCTTTTTTTTTAATAAGCTTTTGGGGAATATGTTTTTAAACCTCTTTTGGTAATAAATAATCCTCCAGCCATTTCATTTTCAATTCATACAGCTTTGTGATCTCAAATAAACAAATAATATTTTTAAAAAATTGAAGTCAACAAAGGTCAACAAAGAATAAATTTATATCCAGCTAAATATCTTATATAAGATAAATATTTTTCTCCCGTGTGAAACTATAATTAATTAATTAAATTTAATTAATGAATTAATATTTAAAAAAAACTGTGTGTCATCCACTACATTTTTAAAAAAAATTATTAGAAATTAAATAAAAACTATTTTATTAACGATTGAAAATTTGAACAAGATATATAAATATATATAGGGAGAAAGTGAACTAATAATAGGAATAGAAAGAAAAAAAAGACAAAGCACAATTTTAATCTTTGCTTTTGTTGAACTGGAATATATAGTAAAGCCGTTTATAAAAAATTTGCAGATCATCCAAGGCACTCAAGTTTTTTTCCCTTTTAAATCACAGTTTATAATGAAATTGCGTCTTAATTATAAATCCTCTTCTCAAACAACAAATAAGCAATGCCACTTGAGTTCAAGGAAAAAATATTCCTCAAAATATTCAGGACTATTGTTTTCCATTCAAGACCAATTTTCTCAATTGATTATTTGCATTTAAGGAAGAAGAAGATCACGAATATCCACACATGTGACCTATGACGTCAGTGTCAGCTGATTCTTTATAAGCAAAGCGGCGTGTCAAAGTTGAGCTAAGTTTCTCCAAATAAGTTAGAATGTTAATTAAATAGTTAATTTATAAGTTAAACTTTCACCGTGATTGAACCTTAGATTCATTATATATGTTTTTTATTGTAACAGTGATGTATTTTTGATTTGTGTACCTGGCAACTTCGATGCATAATTAGTTTATGTTCTACATGGCTTTGTGCCTGTCTTTGTGATAAGTAAGAAATATATAGTGAAATAATTTAAATATTTGTTAAAGAATACGGATTGTTTCATTTAAATTTTGATACATGAGAGTTGATACTTGAGGGGCTTAGCTAACTTGAAATAGAATGGAAAGAACAATTGCTGACGTAAATAAGTATAACGTTTTAACAACCAATCAGGATCGAAGCTACGTCACTTTCAGGTATCCCATTGGATGCCTACAGGTGACGTCATTGTAAGTATATCGTAGTATTTGTAAGTATATCGTTGCATACAAATACTTACTAACCTAGAAAAATAATTTATGAAATGAAATTTACTTTTGTCACCTTAGCTAAGAATATGTTGTTTAGCATGCAAGTTTTATAATAAAAGTTATATCAAAAATATTTTTTATAACTTTATACCAAAAAAATGTTATTTTTAACTTTTTGTAAAATTTTCAACAGGGTTGCTTCAAATTTCGTTGTAAGTCATTAAAAGAATTAGCAGGATGTGAAGAAATTTGGTACTTTATATTTGTAGAAAACAGTCAGAATCGTCAAACAGTGACACCTCCGCTGTATGGCATTCCAAATTTAAAAAATCTTTTACATCTACATTAATATTTAATATTTTAGAAAACAATTCGAATTCAATTATTTTCAAAACATTTCATTTATTCGCAAGTTTGTGCTTCCTGTATCATTCGAATAGAAATATATTTATTGCTAATACAATACGATAACAATTCATTTATATTTTAGCAATTGTGGTTATGCTCTTTTGTCCTTAAATCTTACAAACTAATTTCTGAAAAGTTTCAGACTTAGAAATTAAAAAGTACAATTACAAAAAATTAGATTAACAATGTCCTTATCAGAGTTTGAGATTTAGATTGACGCCATTAGCCTTCTCGATGTTAATTAAAAAGCATTCCTGAGTGCAAGCTTTTTGTCCAAAAATCTGCCATGAAGTTATTTTCCTTTACAGAATCAAGTTAAACATAAAATCATTATGACTGACAAAATGGGACAAACTGCCTGAATCTAGCTAAAGAAACTTTCTGCTTGCTATTACAGTACAAAATTGAAAAAAATTTGAATTTAATTAACTTTTCTATTTAAAATTATAAAATATTTTCATACCAATATATTCCAAAAGTTTTTAGTTTATTTCGTTTTGGTTTTTTCAGTTTGAACAGCTGGCGTACACATGGATGGAGCGGCAGAAGCTAGGTGCCACTTACAGCATGCACAGAGCTCAAAGTGAGAAACATGTCGTTGTCTGTAGCACAACATTACGTGCAGACACCATCATGGACTTCCTAAACGAGTTTTACGCCCATCCTTTACTACAAGTATGTAATATAATAAGTAACCATGTTAAAAATAACTAACAAGCCCCATTCAGAATTATTGCTATTATTATCCATGTAATTAAAATATATTTAGATACGTTTGTAATCGATATAGATATGCAATGTAAACTATGTAAAACCCAATATTAGCTTCAATTTTCTGTTGCTAACTAGCTACATTCAGAATTATTGCTATTAATATCCATGTAATTAAATATATTTAGATACGTTTGTAATCGATATAGATATGCAATGTAACTGATATAAAAACCAATATTAGCTTCAATTTTCTGTTGCTAACTAGCCTCATTCAGAATTATTGCTATTCTTATCAAAGTAATTAAAATATATTTAAAAACGTTTGTAATCGATACAGATATGCAATGTAAACAATGTAAAACCCAATATTAGCTTCAATTTTCTGTTGCTAACTAGCCTCATTGAAAATTATTGCTATTCTTATCCATGTAATTAAAATATATTTAAAAACGTTTGTAATCGATACAGATATGCAATGTAAACAATGTAAAACCCAATATTAGCTTCAATTTTCTGTTACTAACTAGCCTCATTGAAAATTATTGCTATTCTTATCCATGTAATTAAAATATATTTAGATACGTTTGTAATCGATATAGATATGCAATGTAAACGATGTAAAACCCAATATTAGCTTCAATTTTCTGTTGCTAACTAGCCTCGTTCAGAATTATTGCTATTCTTATCCATGTAATTAAATATATTTAGATACGTTTGTAATCGATATAGATATGCAATGTAACTGATATAAAAACCGATATTAGCTTTAATTTTCTGTTGCTACGTTGTATTGCATATCATGCTAAAAACCATTTTTCTCCACCTGCTAAATTCCCAACGTGTTCGTGATGTATATAAAAAGGGCTCGCGAAAATGAAATTGTAATGGCAAAACTTTCAATGACGAAGGTAAAAAAATATTAAACTACCTATATGTGGGACTATAAAAACAATTATATGTATAACCATGTGTTCGGATAAAGTGTTTTCAAAAACAGCACCCCAAAACAGTTTAAAATTTTAATGAAAATATTTGTTTTCTAAATAATAAAAATTTTTCAAGCTTCTTTTTTACCGAAACTTTAAATAAACACTTTGAATTAATTTCTAAAAACAAATATTTCGTAAAATCAAAGTAAAATAAAAAAATTTAAGTTGACATGCACTCCAATTCAAATTGGAGAATTATCTATAGTGCTACTACTTAATAATTTCTTCCCAAAGTCAAAGCGATAACCGAATTTTACGTAAAATACAGAACATACTCATGACTACCACGAACTAATGCACATAAAAATTTATAAAAAAATAAAGACATTTTTTTAGAGAACAAAACTTGATGAATAATAGTAAATGATATTAGGCAGAAATCGAAGCTGAATTGGTCAAGTCGGTGAAATGATCATGTCAACGAAATGATCATATCGGCGAAGTAATCATATCTACGATGTGATCGTGCCAACAACACGAGCTGTAGGGTGTCGGCGAAGTGATCGTAGTGGTAAAATGAGGTGTCTGCGAATAAGTTGTCGGTTAAATGAGCGTGTCGGTGTAAGCTGTCGGTGGAGTTACCGTGTCGTTGAAGTGATGTCGGCGATATAAGTTATCGATATAGTTATCGCGTCGGCGATATTATTTGTTGGTGACGTGATATGTCGTTGAAGTGATTGCCGATGATTTGAACACGGTCCAAAATAATTTTAAACAATCACAAACACAATAGTTTAGGACAATTTAAAACAATAATTTACAAAATAAGTGAAAATAATTTTAAACAACCACAAAACAAATTGTAATCAGGATTAAATATCATATGAAAATAGTTGAAAAATTAAATGAAAAATGTATGGAGTCAATATTTTTAAGAAAACTTATCAAAACATTTTTATACCCATCGGGTAGTTCTTGAATCTTATTACTGGGTGTAAATTTATTTTTAAGAACTATGCCTACACAAACTGAAAATAACTATCTCAACCTGAAGATTTCCATTCATTATTTCTTACTTAATAATTCATGAACAAGCTCCTGTTCCAAGAAACTGTCTAATTATCAATCGATAGGTAAATCAAGATTCTGAACTACGATCAGATACTGATTTTAGCTAAGTTGCATTAGAGATGATTATCATGAAATCATACAGGTAATCTCTTACCACCTTCAATTAAAAGGGATGCGTAATCTAAAGATTATATGTAATTAAGAAAGCCCTCGCATGCACACATTGTTTTAATCAAAATATAATGTTAATGATATTGATCCAGATTTAGGAAATACATTAGCGAAACTTATCTTCAGAGTGATACTACGATATTTTAATTCCCCACATCTTGAATTTGATTTTCGATTAAATTGAAGACATAATATTAATAAATAAAAGCTATAAAAGGATTAATATACTGGTTGTCCTTAATTATAGTTGATTTTTAAACATTTAAAGTAAGAAAATGGTTAAAGTTATAAGACAGATCAGATAGATCATGTGACAAGTATGGAAAAAGATTTTTACTGTGATGAAGATGCCTTATATCAATAAATGCTGTGATTATCAATATATACTGAGAAATACATACCTGCCAACTTTTAATCCCTTCCATTATCATTTTTCCCAGTGGTATTAAAATGAAATTAAAACTTCAATTTTAAGCAAACAAATACGTTGCATTTGAAAAAACTTAAGTTGACAACCATGATAGTAACGCATATTAATATATGTGCTTAATTTTTGTAAGAATAGTGGTGATCAAAATCATTTAAAAATNNNTGATGCATACTTTGCTACCACTTTAAATATGAAAATAAAATCTTCCGGAAAATCCGGAAGAGTTGGCAGTTATGGAAATATCTAATTTTATTAAACTTTAAATTCACAAAAATCTGACTAATTGGCTCCCGCTTTATTTTCTGAAGGAGTCATAAGCAGTGATATGTATATCAAATCTAACATAACATATAATATTATTTTCGAAACTTGAAAGAAAATGTTTGGAGGAAAGGAGCCATGAAAATTGGCATGTTCTAAGTATGCCAAATGGTGATGTGTTAACTATCCGGGGTTCGGGTTGGCGGATTAATTTTGAAGAGAAAAGAGAATATTAGCCAAAAATGGAGAGCTTAAATTCTAAGGAAGAGAAATTATCGTTCGAAGTACTCAGTTAAATTAGTTAAAAAAAATAAAAGGAAATGTGTAGTCTTATACAATTTAAATGTTGAAACGCGTTACTAATCGATTGAAAATAGGTGAAAATGATTTAAATGAATAAATGCGTCTCAATATTTTTCAATAAGATTATTTTCCCTTCTTGTTATAGTTCTTATTTTTGTTTTTACTTCAAGCAATTTTCAAGAGTTAATCTTTTTCTTTCATACAGTTTTGAAAATCGTTAATTTAATTTACGACATCCAGTAAATGGGAATAAAAGATGGATGTATCAACAAAGCTATAATGTGTCTTATTCTGATAATAAATTAAAAACTTAAAGTTTACCGTTTTAATTTTACTTTATTTTATAACCGCCTTTGAACAGTCGACCCAATTTTGGGTTTACGACTACTAATGCCTCCGTAGCCTTGTAATTTTGAACTCAATCCAGAAGACAAGGAAATTCCTAGATCAGTACCCCCAAAGGTATGATTTGTTACTGGAACATGGGGGACTTTGTGACTCGACAGATTTAACGTGCATCAGTCACCATTTACTACCGGGGAGTCTTCGGCCGACGGGGACGAATCCACGCCCTCTTGGACATGGGCCCAATGCCCTACCAACCAGGCTTAGGATAAGTAGAAATGGGGATCAAACGGGACTTACATAACATATGGGTAAAATAAAGTTAATTTACGCGCTTGATAGATAATAATAAACAGGCTGAAAATTTGCGGTAGTAATCAAGAGAGCTAATATTTGTTGTAACAAAGGGGCAGACTCTGTTCAGATAAAAAGCCTTATTATTGAATAAATTTATTATTTTACTTGTATTCTCTAAATGTATGATGTCATACATTGCATGATGTATGATGTCAATATATAATGCCATTTTCATTTAAAATGTTTCTTTTTATTCTCAACAATATGGTTAAAAACACAGAAAAAACTTTTGTTTGGCAGTCAAAATTTACATAAAATTTTAAGACTTTGGCAATGTTTTCAAATTTCAAAATAAATGGTAAAGGAAACGTTCAGTAACTTTAAGCATTTAAAGATGTCTAATCGCTAGACACGCACACTTCGCAACAAAGATTTAATAACGAGAATTTAAGAAAATCAGTATAAAAAAAAAATTTTAAACTTATTAGTTTAGCATCTATTGCAAGCAAACAATCAATACATGTTTACGAGAGATTTTGCCTTTCGTGTGCAATTTGTAATGATTTTGTAAACTATTGCGCATACTTAAAAAGTGTAGATATTTATTAAATTGAATTTGTTTGAGTGTGATATTTTCAAAGTAAGTATTTAATAAAATATAGCAAAAATTATGGTATATTTTGGGATAAAGAATTGAAAAAAAATTGTATTTAAACTCAAAAACAGAAACATTTAAGAGCTGGCAAGATCTGAGAATTTAAAATAATAGTTTTGCGCTATACTTTCGTGATAAAAAGTAATCAAGTGTTCGTTTTTTTCTATAACTTGATACTCAACCGTATTTAGAAACTTAGCACGAAAATCCACATTAAATATCTTAAAAACTGAAAAATCAAGTAATTGTTTGATACTTTTAAATATTATCACGAGATACACAAATTTAATAAATGCCTCAAGTAGTACAGAGTCGTAGTAAAACGAAATGAATACAGTGAAAATACATCGAGATTACTTCGTTCTGAAAAATTCTTTTTTCTCTCTTTTCCTTTAATGAAAAATAACTAATGTTTATTTAATAAACCCTTTTCTGGTGTTAAAAAAGCAACCAACAGTTACCTATCCTGAAACCGCAGTGAAAAATATAAGTTAATCAAATAAAAAGATCTTTATACTTAATTTTCATTACTATTGAAATTCGTTGATAAAAAAAAATTAACCTGCTCAACCATAGTTAATTTAAAATTGGTAGGTGACCCACTTTCCCGTGATTACATCTTCTTAAAACATACTCGAAAGCTAATCACAGATTCGAATACTTTACCTAATTAAGAAACAGTGCTGGGGAGGGACTCTTAGCAAGGACAAACATCATCAAGTTGTCCTCTGAAACAGAACGGATGCGCCCTTGTTTTCCTTTCAACGCAGAGTAGAAAGCTATTTTATTTAAGTTCACTGCTTGGGGCAATAATTGTCTACAGTGCGTGAACAAACTAATTAAGATTCCACTGCCGAAGTACAATACTTGCAGTCAATTCAAGAACTGTGAACGAGGATTAAAACTATACGTGGCAAACGGACCTTGCTATGTAGACTGCCTTTCTTTTAATAAACCAGACATTATCTGTAATGGTTATGCCAAGAAGAGTGAAACAGCTATTAAGTAAAACCCCTTAATAAAACCACGAGAAAGAAATTATAATAACAAATGTATAATTGTGGAAATTAATGAATTTCAGTTTTAAATAACTTTATATATTAATGCTCCGATAACAGTCTTGAATTTTTAACAAGAATTTGTTACTTCCTATCTCAAAAAAGTGGTCTTGCTTTCGACTTTGGACAATTCTATTCTTTTTCTGCATTAATGTAAATATAATATTCTTCCTCGTTTATGAAGTAAAATTTCTAATATAAGAATTCAGCAAATGGGACATTCATAAACGCAGCTTCCTTACTTGCACTGAAGTTAGCTATCTAGTCGTAAAAGAATCAGTTGATTAGCATCATTGAAATTAGGGTGAACCTATTTCATGGTTCAACTTCTCCTCTTTTTTTGTTACTGGCAAATGCTGTTTTTTTCATAACCTCAAAACACCATCTAGTTGGCAATGTAACATGTTCTAGCCAGTAAATATCTTGTATACGAATCATTTTTTATACAATCGAGATTTGCGAAGAAAAATAAATTTCAATAAAATTAAAAAAGAACAGTGAGAAAAAAGTATAGTAGTATAATCATACTATGCAATAAATAATTAAATATTAAAATATTTATATTTTTAAAAGAATAATATGCCAACAGCAAAAGAAAAATTTTATTAGTAAACTGTCACACTGTAACTTATTACTATTAGTTGTGTGTATAAAATTCATCATCATATTTGGCACAGCATCCCATGGAGAGACAAGGCAAGGCCTTTTGCTGACCGTTCCTCCAGGACAACCTAATTTTTGACCTAGTCCGCCAGTCTATCTCAATTATTTTAAAATATGATTCCACGTAATCATTGTTTTGGCTTTGGTATACAGAAGAGCCTTGACATCTACAGAATAAACTTTTAAAAAATTCACGTAGCATAATTTGTTTTTAGTCTTGATTTTTTTTAATAATAATGTATAGATAAATTTAAATAGAGATCTTTGTATGCAGTTTTATGTAATGATTACCTACTTATTTCTCCAAACGTAATTATGATCCAAACTTAATTATTTCTTAAAAAACTAACTCCTAAAAATGAAAACAACCCAATCAAAATTGTCCTCTTTGTGTATTTTTAGGATTTTTATGTGGTACTTCTCTCCCCTTGTGAGTTGGATGCTACAATGAAGATGATTCTTCAAGTACCTATGTGGGCTCAGAGAGTGATTTACATTCAGGGTTCAGCTCTCAAAGATACCGATCTTACAAGAGCAAGGTATGCCCATCAATCTTCAAAGAATACCAAAAAGTCAAAATTATTTCACATACATGTAACATAACAAACCTTTAACGAATCCTTTTATGTTATTTCTTTATCTAAATTCTCTTTCTTAATTTATTACTCAAAATAGAATACTTTCGCACACTTTATTATTCACATCCGGTTTTCTTATTCTATTTTTTGGTTCAATTATGCAAGTTTTCCCTTTACTAACTGCGAGAACTACATTATTACCTCAACGTATTTAATGAACCAATTGTAGGTTTTCCCTAGCTTTTGAGAGAGAAGCACACCAGGTTTCTGAGGGTAAACCAACCAGTGAAGGAGCATTTCATATATATATTGATTAAAAATAAGAATTTGAAAGTGTTTCTTTAGATTGATTGATAACAATAGCTTACTGCCAAACAATAGGCAGTCATCTAGCAATGTTTTGGATTACCTGGTCAAATAGACTTCTCTGGAAAAATTTCTGAATTTGTTATTATGTCTGCAACACCTTGTTTATTTGAAAAAATTATAAGGTGAGTGTTTATAATATGTTTGAAGTGGAATTAATTGCATATAATAGTTCTCACTGTGAAAAAGAGAATTCAGAATATAGTTATTGAAGGTACGTTTAATTTTTTTAAGCATAATAAAGTACTGAGATAAGGGGGTGCTTAATCACTGGGTCACCAAACGATGAAAAACCAGTGAAGGAACAAGTGTTCCTTTACTGGGCATAGATTTCCCAGTGAATGAACAGTGTGTGTTAATATGTTGACACTTTTGTTTTCAATTCATGATTACGAAAAAAAATTAACATTTTCCAAGTATCTATATGTTATAATTTCAAGAATAGGCTTGTCTTTAAATATTTGTATGGCTTATAAATTCATAAAGAGCATTAAAAAATAACCAAAATTAAGTGTTCCTTTACTGGGTATTCATTCAGTGGTAAGAGCTGTGTTCGGTTGGTCTTCTTACTACTTGTTATTTGAACCTCCAAAACTTTGAAATAATATTATGTAAGTTCTCTACAATTTTTTTTACATAATTTGCAATTAGTGACAAATGTGTTGACACTGTCATTTAACTAAAATTACGAATTTTGAAATTAATATGATTTTTTAGAAGGCAAGCGAAGCTTAATTGTTCCTTCACTGGTTAGTTTACCCTATATAAGTTTACCCTTAACGAACACAGATTGTGGTACTCTATAAAAAGAAAGTAATTTAACTCGTTGATGAAACTTACAAATATTCAAATTAGGGAACGATTCGTATCACTTTTTATAAATATTTGTTTTCATTTATAAAACTTTAACAATAAAAATTAAGATTCATATCTGGCAACACGCAATTTCTTTCTCTGTCTCTCTTGCTACTTTTAATGGGATACCTGCAAGTGACGAAGTAGGGATATTTCGATCCTGATTGGTTGTTGAAACGTATCATTTGTTTACATTTTCAACTGCTCCTATCATTCTATTTCGAGTAGGCCAAGCCCGTCAAGTATCAATTCTCTTAAAGTGATACATCCTATATTCTTTCACCACAATTCTTTCACAAAGATTGCAATTCTTTCACTATATTTCTTGTTTAACACAAAGACTGGTACGAAGTCATGTGGAACATAAACAATCTAATTATGCATCGAAGTGACCAGGTTCACAAAACAAAAATAAATCACGGGTACAATAAAATACATAAACAAATAATAAATCTAAGTTAAGCAAGAGGCATAGACGAGAAAGAATTATATTTCAACCAATTCGATGTGCGATACGGTGCTGTATTTAATTAACTTCACTTTAATTACATTTTAACTTATTTGGAGAAACTTAGCTCAACTTTAACACGCCATTTTTCTTATAAACGACCGGCTGTTACTGATGCCGTAGATCACATGTGTGGGTATCTGCGATCTTCTTCTTAAAGTACAAGTACTCAATTGACATCTACGCAAGGGAGAGTTTATGAAATGAACATCTTGTAAGGAAAAAATAAATATTCTGCAACAATGGATGAATAGTCAATATTTAAAACAGGAAATTGGGAAAAAAATCACAAAAAAGAACTTAAATTTGCAAAAACTTTCAAACAAGATTTGCGTTAGGTTCACGTTTAAAAAATGGCTTTTTCTGCTGGTTATATTTCCACGTTTTAACTCCATAGTTGCATTTCAGAGGGCTACAGATTGACCGTGGAATTTTTTTCCTGCAAGTGTAAGAGTTAATAATCCTGGAAATTTTCAAATCTTAACTTCTTTAATTCATTTAGTACTCACTGTATTTTTTTCTACATGCCTTTATGATTTCAAGTTTCTAAGTCCTATAGATTTTTTGTCGCAAAGCAAAATGTGACCTAAAACAAAAAGAAATGATCAAAAATTTTAAGTACAATTTCTGATTACTTAGCTTTCTCTCTGGCAGTATTTAGGCTCTTAGCAAAATTCTTCACACACAGTTACGAAAGTCGTTTATCCAACGATAAGAAAAAGATATTTTCGCATAAATATTATTATAAATTATTATTAAAAATAATTTATATTTTTCTTCATTGATTATTTTTTACATATTACATGTATGAACAATGGTCGGAATATTTTTGAATTATAAAGTATCATTTACATGATCTTAATCTATCCTATTTTAGTTAGCAAGATCCAAAATTTGGACGTAATTGATTCATTTGTTTAAAGTAAAAATTTAAATATTCGATATTTTTTTTAAATAATTAAAATTTTATATTTCTTCATTCAAAATATGCTTTGAAATCAGGTAAAAATTTTATATACTTTATAGTTAAAAAATGTTTTGACTATTAAAAAATAAATAATAATAAATTAGCATTAAAACTATTTTTTATGGCGAATAATCTTTGTATAAATAAGTTTATTTTCTCCATGGACGTGGGAAAATATGCAAAATGTGAAATTTACATTAAAAAGACACAAATTTTTGACCTCTCACCTTTCTAAACTATTGGGACCGCATCTATTTTTCTAAATTTGTGGGGCGAAAATCCATATCAGTTTTAAAAAAAAGTACATTTATGTGTTTGATTTCGTAACTTAAATCGCCGTATAAAAAATTCAAGCACTCCCGTGCTAAAATTGCTAAATTTTATTTAGTAAATGTACACTATGTTCTTCTTGTATGGCATTAAATCATAAATTCAATTAAGAAAGTGACGAACAGTATAACTGTTAAAAGCTATCTGTTAAAAGAAATAACAGTAAATCAACATTATCGATTTGAAATTGCTCAATTTATTGTAACATTCGTTGTCCCAATCATTTAAATAATTTACATGCATCAAATTTTAGATCATCTCGAGTAAACTTTAAATTAATTCTAACCTCGCTTTTTGAATAAATCACACAGGAATTTTGAGCTCTTAATTTCAACGGCAAGCTCTAAAATTACAAAGAACGCATGGTAATTCAATTTGGATGGAGTCGAAGTTGATCTTTTAACACAAGCACAGGCTAACCTTTAAAGTTTATTCAATTATTCAATTTTAAAGAATTTATATGGATGCATAGCCGAGTTCTGAATGTATTATAACTTATTTATAGACAACCTTTCATAAATTCATCGAAATGATGAAAGGATTGTGAAAGGAATTGGTGAAAATGTAGCTTATATTTTCAAATAAAATAAGGTTGTTCATTTGCATGCCTTTAGAAATTTAGCATCTACTTAAAGCTCGTACATCATCCTTGCCACAGGTAATTTTGGGTAATTCAAAAGAAGAAAAAATTGCCACACCTGAAACTACATATATTTAAAAAAAACATGCCAAAGAAATATAAGTTTACTTGACAAAAAGTTGAGTAAAATACATTTGTGGTAAATTGTATCTGTCTTGTATCTGTAATTGTATCTTGTATCTGTCATGAAATGAATGAAACGTGTACTCTCAATTGATACAAAGCTATAGTTGCAATTTAGGCTCTCTAGCTAATTGGAAAGTGGCCGTACAGATACGAAAACAAGAGTTAAAGTAATATGGTGTTAAAAAATTATGTGTAGCATCTTTCTTCTTTATTAAATAACTCGACTAATTTTGGCCAAGAAAATATGAATTCATTTGTATAGATAACGCTAGTGAACAATTTTTTTTTATGTTGCATGCTATTTTATAACAGATATTGGCAATTTTCACGTCCCTGATTTTAAATCTGCAATCATTTTCTCGCAAGAAAATTTTTTCCTCGGTGTAATGTAAATAATTCTATGGCTAGATGTTAACAAATGAAGCTAAAATTAGTTTTTAATACTTTTCAAAAAGCTATTTTCGAATATTTATTCAAATACTCCGTTTTACGAGAAAATCTATTATGAAAATTTAAGTTAGTATCAATATATCGCATGCAATATTTTGCATGCAATATTTGCATTTTGTATTTTCAATGTTGATATTAGACACAAAAGAAACTTCTATGAACATTTAAAAGTTAGAACATAACACAATTTCAAAAAGAAAAAAAAATGATGCTTCGTTTTATTTTTTAAGTTGTTGTTGACTTTATAATTTATATATCCTTACATTGATGATAATTTATATCTTTACATTTACACAATACACTCATTATTTCTCAATTAAGTTTAAACATTGAAGAGATTTCTAATTCGAGCAAATTATGTACTTAATCATTAAAAAAAGTAATTTTGTCCTCTTAATCAAAGTAATCCCCTTTAGACCGCTCGTAATATTTTATTAATAAGTTTTTTCTAATTTATAATTATTAATAGATACGATGTTATTCCAATTCCAATAAATCACATCCTAAATGTGATTCATGCTTGCAATATTTGAACATCAAATGCATTTTCCTGAATGATTCGCCAAAAGTTGGGTGTATTTTAAATAATATGATGAAAGCAATCAAAACTTCACTCAGAAATATTTGTTTTTTGATCTTAGATTCCTTTTCCCCTTTTTACAGGTAATGTTTGATGTAGATATGAATGGAAAGCGGTTTTTCACAAACTACAAATTCTT